TCATCTTTCATCCGCAGCAATGGAAAAGATGAAATAACTTGGTTTATGCTCACAAGTTAGATTAAACTGCCTGCATTCTCCACCAATATGGTTAAGAGGTCTCATAAGGAATCTCAGTCTGTTCTTTGTCTTCTAGGTAGGGGGGGAAGTCAATCCAAAGTTCGACATTGTCTGTGCCTGCCTCAAAACTTCAACGAGCAAACAGAACTCTGCACCCATCCTTCAGCCAACGCCCAAGACATCTCTTCGAACGACTACTGAACCTCCAGCCAATCAAGAAAGGAACGCTCAACTGATTTAATCCATGGATTAAATCCCTAACACAGAAAATGCAAGTAAACCTCCAGATTCTAGCTGAACTGGTGCATTCATGAAATTAACCAACTGCTTGATTTTTACCGTACATTTCTGCCATATGGACATCAAATTGAGATCAGTCACCACTGATAAGCTATTACTAAATATAATGTAGAAATTTTAATTTTCTGTAAAGCTGCTTTGCAACGATTTGCATCGTGAAAAGCACTATATAAATAAACTTGAATTGAATTGAATTAAATATAAAATTTAATTGCTTTAAAGAAGAAAATCAATGCTAATTAAAATTTTAATTAAAAGGTTAATTAAATAATTGCTGGTTGTTCAGGTTTAAGAAATTGCATATATCGCTATAAACTTGGGATTCCTCATTTCCACTCTCTTAAACTCATTCTTTCCCCACTTTATCTCTTTCTGCAACTTGTGAGAATGTGTAAGTGCGTGCAGTTATGTGTTTGATTAGTTTATATGTCTTAGATTGTGTCAATGCGAGGGTTAATTAAATAATTGCTGGTTGTTCAGGTTTAAGAAATTGCATATATCGCTATAAACTTGGGATTCCTCATTTCCACTCTCTTAAACTCATTCTTTCCCCACTTTATCTCTTTCTGCAACTTGTGAGAATGTGTGTGTGCAGTTATGTGTTTGATTAGTTTATATGTCTTAGATTGTGTCCAATAAAGTCTTATTTCTATTGAAAAGAGAAGTATCTTTTGTTTTGTGCTTACAAGTGAATGTCTTAAACTGCCGATCCTGTTACCATGCTAATAAATAGTGCTCCCTATCTGTCGGTCACTGCGAGTTATGTCGTGACGACGTTAGGGGTCTAACTTGGGAGCCCAATCATCTCTGAGTTTAAGAGAAAACGCAGATGAAAATTGGCTAGTGGATTTTGCACGCTGAGCCACTCCCCGTGCACACGGGTCTATAAGGCGACAGCACGCATCCACTCATTAGATTTTTGCTTCGGAGCCGAGTGGTTGTATGAAAAGCTGTTATACTCCACAAAGCCATTCATCTGCTGTGTGTCGGGAAGCCGTTCTGGTTGGCGGTACGATGCGAACAGCGGTGTCCCTTTCAGCGATTCCCCTGGGTGCTTCAACTAAAATAACAGATTTCCTAAAAGAGCAAATCACGGACGATTCTTTTTAAAGACGCCGTTTTCGTCCGTATCCTCTTGGTTGCGGTCGTTTCCTGTCCTCTGACAATGGCCACGAGCGTTGTCTTCCATGTCTGGGCATTCAGCACGCTGAAGACGCATTCGTGGATGGTTCATGCCCGCACTGCGAGTGCATGACCATGACAACGCTGCGATCGCGTCTCTCTGTTCTTAAAGGGAAAGGAGTAGACCCTTCTGTCACTACCCATCCCGGTTTCTCTGCCACGAGCAGAGGACCGCCGGCTAGTGCTCTGGGAGATTTGAGGGTGAAAGTGAGAGCTTCTCCGCCGGGCCACGCCCCACGGACGTCTCACTCCTCCCGCAGCGCTTGTCCTGTGCGGCTGCTGAGTGATTCTGCTGGGCTGTCTTATGGCGGTCCCAGCATTTCATTTGGTGTGCCGCCGGGGGATCAGATGTCGATTGCAGCATCGGGGGATGGGCTATTGACCTCTAAGGGATGAAGATTTGGCGTGGCTGCCCCCCTCAGATATTGTCGCCACTGCTGAATCGGACCCAGAGTTGACGGCCATGCTTGCCCAGGCAGCTGTGAGCATCAGGCTGGAGGTGAATATACAGCTCAGCCATGAGTGCTCGCGGCTGGACGATCGGTTTCTCGGTGTGGAGCGCGGCTCACAACCGCATTCTACTCTGGTTCCTTTCTTCCCGGTGCATGAGGAAGTGACGTAGTCATGGATGGCCCCTTTTACGTCCAGAAGCCGCTCGTCTCCTTCCTCCGTCCTCACTAACCTCGATGGCGGGGCGGCTAGGGTGTGCGTTGACGTTCCCCAGGTGGAGAGAGTGGTTGCGGTGCACCTGTGCCCACAAAATGCCGCTACTTGGAGGAATTGTCCGCGTCTCCCGTCCAAAGCCTGTAAGCTGTCGGCAGCTCTTGCTGTCAAAGCTTATAGTGTTACGGGGCAAGCCACCTTTGCCCTGCATGCCATGGCTATTCTGCAAGTTCACCAAGCCATGGCCTTAACAAATGCACGAGGGTAATACCGACTCAAGGTTGATGCAGGAGTTGTGCACAGTGACTGACTTCACCCTCCGGGTGACGAAAGTCACAACACGGTCCCTCGGGAAGGCGATGTCCACTCTGGTGGTCCAGGAGTGCCATCTCTGGCTCAGCCTGGTCGAGATGAGAGATGTTGACAAAGTGCGCTTTCTTGATGCTCCCATCTCCCAGGCTGGCCTGTGTGGAGACATTGTCGAGGGCTGTGCCCAGCAGTTCTCGGCAGTACAACAGCAGACTGAGGCCATACAGTACACCTTGCCCCGACGTGATCCTCCAGCTGCCACCGTTTAGTCGCGGGCCGTGTCTCAGCATGCTCGTCGCTGTGGGCGCCCTCCTGCGTCCTCCACACCGGCTTCGCCCCGCGCTGAGACATCGTCGAGGCCGGCGTGTCGAGCCCCACGCAGGAGAGCGGCTAGGAAGACGAAGCGGCCCTGACATGGGCAACCCGGAGATGTGGGAGACTGCTCTTCAGGAGGTGGCGAGGACAGCACCGCTCCTTTCCCCGGAGGAGGGCCGGGTGGAGAATCTATTTCTTTCTGCTCTGCCGTTGGCTCGATGGCCAGCGGTAACCACACTGTCAAAGAAAGAGCAGTTTCCTTTTCCTCCGGGTTGCAAGGCTCGTTGGTTGACAGTGAGCGACGCACCACTTCCTCACTCTCACCCACGACGCCCCCTATCGCCAGTGGCCAAGAGATCGTGTTTCGGAGACGCAAAGCCTCTCCACGCGTCTCTGGCCAGTCCCTCCGGGGACACGGGGAGTTTTTCAGTGATGACTCAGAACGCGATGCCTTCTGGGCCACCCAGCAAAACTCTCCATAGCTGCACCACTGCGGGTATGTCCTGCTGACTTCGCCCTCCGGGTGACGAAAGTCACAACGCGGTCCCCAACCCGTCCTCCTGGCTCATTCGGATGGTTCGACTCGGCTACGCGATTCAATTCGCCAGGCGACCCCCCCCCAAGTTCAGGGGCGTTCTCACGACTTTGGTGGCAGTTTGAGATTAAGAAGGGGTTTTACAGCCCTTACTTCATCGTACCCAAGGAAAGCGGTGGCCTTCGACCAATCTTGGATCTGCGAGTCTTGAATCAGGCCCTTTACAAGCTCCCATTCAGGATGTTGATGCAGAAACGTATTATCAAATGAGTTCAATCCCAGGATTGGTTTGCAGCGATTGATGTGAAGGAAGCATACTTTCATGTCTCGATCCTTCCTCGACACAGACCGTTTCTGCAGTTTGCGTTTGAGGGTCGGGCATGATAATACAAGGTACTCCCCTTTGGGCTCTCCCTGTCCCCCGAGAGTCGCTGAGGGTGCCCTTGCCCCACTATGGGAAGTGGGCATTAGGATCCTCAACTATCTCAACGACTGGATCATCATGGCCCAGTCGCGAAAAGAGTTGTGTGATCACAGGGACCTGGTGCTCCGGCATCTCAGTCAGTTGGGGCTTCAGGCCAACCGAGAGAAGAGCAAGCTCTCCCCCATGCAGAGAATCTCTTTTCTTGGTATGGAGTTAGACTCGGTGTGTATGACGGCGCATCTCACTAACGAGCGTGCCCAGTCAGTGCTGAACTGCTTGAGTTCCTTCGGAGGCAGGACAGTGGTACCACTGAAACACTTTCAGAGGCTCCTGGGGCATATGGCATCCGCAACTGCAGTCACGCCGCTCAGATTGCTTCATATGAGACCACTTCAGCACTGGTTACACTCCCGAGTCACGAGATGGGCATGGCGCCGTGGTACACATCGTGTCACTATCACACCGATGTGTCGCAGCTTATTCAGCCCCTGGATGGACCTTGCTTTTCTACGGACTGGGCTGCCCTTAGAACAAGTGTCCCGGCATGTTGTTGTCACGACAGATGCCTCCGATACGGGCTTGGGTGCTACGTGCAATGGGCAGGCAGCCTCGGGGTCCTGGACAGGACCTCGACTGCTTTGGCACATCAACTGTCTGGAGTGGCTGGCAGTACATCTAGCCTTGTGGCAGTTCCGGCCGCTGCTGTTGGACAAGCACGTGTTGGTCCGCACGGACAACACTGCTGCTGTTTCGTACATCAACCGACAGGGCGGTCTATGATCACGTTGCATGTCACAACTTGCCCACCATCTCCTCCTCTGGAGATTTTCGGTAAGTGAAGAGTGCCTTGTGTGCCTAGGGCCAGCCTACTCTCACGTTGTCCTGAGACCCCGGCCTGGATACGTGCCCAAGGTTCCCACCTCTCCCTTCTGAGATCAGGAGGTGAACCTGCAAGCGCTGCCCCTGGAGGCATTACTGTGTCACGTAAACGCATATACGTGGACCACACCCAGAGCGTCAGAAGCGCTGAGCAGATCCTTGTCTGCTTTGGA